TGGGAATCAGGGGTCGACGGGTGGTGCTCGCCCGGGTGGCTGGTGCAAGCGAATGCACAGCAAGGCGAGATCTCGAGCCCTGGGCGAGGTGAGGGCGGACGTCGAGAGCGGCCGCCGGCTCGCGCCTTTCCCTTTTCCCCCGCCTGCTTCAATCGTCGAGACACCTTCGCGCGTCGGACTGCTCTCCTTTCCTCCCTCTCTCTCTCTCTCTACGTGCGAGTCCATCAGAGAGCCTCTCCACTTGCAGCCGAGGTGCGCGCGAGAAAAACCCACGTCGGGCCACAGCTTTTTCCACGTGCGACCGGCTCTCTCGCTCTCTCGTCCTCGACGTGGCGCGCAAGGTGCACGAGAACAGACGTTGCAAGGAATAGGGGACGCGAGTGGGAGGCAGAGAGAGGAGAGAGAGACACAAGGGCGGGGTAGGGTGGCTGAGAGTACAGGAGCACAGAAAACGCGGGAAGAGAGAGAGAGAGAAGGAGGCGAGGCGGCGAGGGGCAGGGGGAGGGTACCTCGCCGTCGACGACTGCTGGTGTCGAGCGTGTCGAGAGGCCGACGAGGTGTTGCTGTACAGGGGCGAGGGGAGGGCAAAGGCGAGGCAGGAGAGTGTCCATGGCGAACGGCGAACGGCGAGGGCGACGACGACGACGACGACGATGCGGCGCACGATGTGCGACGCTTTACTCCTGCCCGAAGCTGCACGACGAGGAAATGCGTCAGGACCATGCGCTTCGACAGGAGGAGGATGAAGGGGGACGCACCCCATCGTGTTCTCGATCGCAAACGCCAGCTTGGACTCGAGCGTGTCGTAGTCCGGGTACGGCGGGAGGTCGAGCCGGTTGAAGCATGTGTGGCTCTTGGGGAGCTGCGTCACCTCGCCCGACTTTTCGAGCGTGAACCGCCGAGGGCCGTCCGAGCCCTGCAGGTCCTTGAAGCTGTGCCGTGCGTCGCAAGGGAGAGGGTCAGTGTCGGGCCGGGCCGGGCGCGACGCGAGAGGGAGGAGGAACTCGGGGGAAGCAGGAGGGAAAAGGACGGACCCGTTGACCGGGATGCGGCTCGTGCCCGTCGTGAACTGGAGCAGGCGCGACTTCTTCTCGGTCGGCCACGACTTGACGGCCTGCGCGAGTGTCGAACAGGCGACGTCAATGACGACTCTTGAGGGTCAAAGAGAGGGAGCAGGCGGTGCTCGACCGGCGCAACGACGAGGAAGAGGACGAGATAAAGAGAGAGCGGGACGGACCTTCCAGAACCACTGGACGACCTCGTCCGTCTGCTGGTACCCGCGGTAGTCGGTGTGCTTCTGCCAGTCGTCGACGTCGATCTCGCTCATGCCGCCGATCAAGAGCTCAAGCTCGCGCTCGTCAAAGACGTTGATGAGCTCTTGCGGGATCAACTCGTTGAAGCCGCTCAGGAACGCCTTGAACTGGTCCTCGACGCGCCGCTGGATGCGCCACTCGACGATGAGCTGCACGTACTCCTTCTTGTTGTCGTTGGTCACCTCGATGTGCTGCCCGTCGGGCTTGAGGTCGATCGTGACCGTCTCGCCAAACCGGTCGTCCTCGGCCGAGAACGTGTTCTCGAGGACGTCCGTGATGTCGTTCTCGCTGCACGGCACGAGGCACGAGGGGGTCCGAGTCAGTTTGGGGCTGGCGCGCACTAGAGAGGGAGAGGGAGAAGAGGGCTGGGGACGCACAGCATCCACGCGAGCGAGCGGTACATCTCTGCGTCGACCGACTCCATGTCGGCGAGCGTGATCTTCTTCTTGAGGATCATCTTGTACAGGGCCGTGATGAAGTAGGCGTCGAGGAACCGGCGGTGGAACACGGCGAGCGACAGGACGCGGCCGATGAACTTGAAGTAGTTGAGGTGCTCTGGGTTGATCGACGAGTTGGGGTTGATCTGGAGCGTGTAGTTGTCGTGCGCCGAGTACTCGAAGAGGCAGTAGAACGGGTTGAACATCTCGTGGCTCAGGAGGAAGAAGAACTCGCGCGACAGGCCGCCATAGTCGAGGCCGTCCTCGCCGTCAAACTTGATCATGAGCCGCTTCTTGAGGTCGTTGGGCGTCTGGCGCATGATCTCGGCGTACGAGTCCTCAAAGATGTGCGTGCGGCGGACCTTGACGTGGCACTGGCCCGGGCTCGGCCGCAGCGCCGGCTGCGACCGGAAGTAGATGAGCTTGCGCCGGAAGTCGCGCTTGTACTGGGGCACGTTCTGGTCGAGCGACGACGGCAGGCGCGGGTCGTCCCACGTCGTCGTCTTGGTGTTGTGGTCGACAAAGTAGACGCGCGCGGTCGACGTGAGGCGCATCTCCCACCCGCTCGGGAGCGGGCCGAGCTGCGACACCGACTGGGGCTGCACCGTCAGGTTGTTGCCGTTGGGGCCCATGACGCGCAGGAGCTGCTGCCGGCGCGGGTCGACCCACGTCGTCGTGCGCGTGTTGTGGTCGACAAAGTACGGCCGGCCCTCGGGCGTGAACCGCTGCTCCCACCCGGCCGGCAGCGGGCCCGAGCCCTGCGTCGTCGCCGAGCTCGCCTGCGTGCCCGGCGCGCCTGGCGCTCCTCCTGCGGCGGCGGCGGCGGCAGCGGCGGCGCCGCCTGCTGCAGCCGCACCGGGCGTGCCCGCGCCCGCCGTGGTCGGCGTCGTCGCGCCCTGCGACGCGCCGTCGGCCGACGTGCCGAGGAACTCGTCGGCCGTCGTGCGGCCGCCCGCCCTCGAAGCCGACGACTGGGCCGCCGCGTTCGACTGAGCCGCCGTCGCCGCGCCGGCCGAGCCGCCGCCGCCGCCGCCGCCCATGGCCGCGAGCGCCGCCGCACCGGTGCTCGCGCCGGCCGCCGCACTCGGGCGCGTCCACGTCGTCGTGCGAGTCGTGTGGTCGACGTAGTACGTGCGACCGAGGTGGTCGACACGGCGCTCCCAACCGGCAGGGAGCGGGCCGTACTGGTCCTCGCGCGCGTTGAACTCGCGCGTCGTGCCCGTGCCGGCGTTGCCCGCCGCCGAGGGCGTCGACGCGTTGGGCGGAGCCGACGACGACGAGGCGGCCGCGGCACCGACCGACGCGCTCGACGCGGCGGCGCCCGTCGGCTCGGGGCGGGACGACGAGGCCGAGGCCGGCGTCGAGGCGGCGAGGGCCGAGGACGGCGACGAGGTCGAGCCGCTCGCGGCGCCGGCGGCCGAGGACGACGAAGCCGCCGTGATGGGCGCCGTCGTGGGCTGGCGAGGGGCGCCGCTGATGTTGGTCGTGAGGTGGACGATGAGCTTGCCGTGGACGACGAGCTGGTCGTTGGAGCGCTTGAGGTCGCGCGTGAACGTCTCCTCGCCGCCGAGGTCGAGGTCGACGCTGCTCGAGATGGGCAGGTTGATGACGCCGAGGAAGCCCTGGTCCTTCTTCTTGAACTTCTTCTGGTCAAAGATCTGGACCGTGAGGACGCTCGAGTCCTTGACCTCGACGTCGAACGACTCGTTCCAGTCTGCGTGCGCGAGGGAGGCGAACGAGTCAGTCACGGTGTCGTATCGAACGAGGCGGTACGAGGAGGGGGAGCGGGCGAGGCGATCTGGTTCATCCCTGCCGCCACCGCACCGCGATAAGAAGAGGAGGCGGGACGCACAAGGGTTGAGCGTCTTCTTGATGGCGGTCGTCGTCATGGTCTGCTCGCCGTCGACAGTCACGACGGCGAACGGATCCGGGAGCCTGAACACATCGCGCTTGGCGAGCGAGTCGGCGGCGACGACTGGGCGCGGTTGCACGGGGGAGAGTGGGTGGGCACGGTTGGCGATAGGGAGGACGACAGGTAGGCGGATCGACGCAAGGGGGGGGAAAGGGAGGGAGGGAGAGGTGTGGGTCAGCGACCTCGGTCTCGCCCCTCCGACGCCCACAGAGAGAGAGAGGGGGGGGCCGGCGCACCAGTGACGCGGATCTTGCGCCTGCGGTTCGGGTCCGGTGCGGCAGCTCCGCTCGACATGGCCTGGGCGTCGCGGTGGGCGGAGAGAGAGGGAGGGACGAGGTGCGACGAGGCGATGAGGCGATGGGCCGAGTTGCGCGCGCCCGAGGGTTGGCGAAAGCCGAGCTGGAACCGGGGGTGGCGCGGGCTGCGTACACAGGTGCGGCTTGGGTGGGCCGAGCTGGGCTGGCGTGCAGTCGGGCGCTGTGCGCGGTGTTGGTTGGTGAGGAGGAGGAGGAGGTCTCTCGCTCGCTCGCATCGCCGCTGCCGCGGTCGCCAAAAACGGCTCACCCTCGAGTGCTGCGCTTGTGCTTCCTCAGAGCACAGAGAGACAGTCGTCAAGCACTCGCAATACGCAGCAGAATCTCACAGAGAGCGACAAGATGCTCCCGCTCTCAGTCCTCCTCCTCGCTCGCTCGCGCACGACCAGCGTTCTCGCGGTCGTACAACACGAGCATGCAGTGATAGACACGTCTAAGCCTCCTCCCCGAGCACGCTCACCCGTCGTACTCTGTGAACGACGTGTGCCCACTCGACTCGGCGTGCTGCCTCGCCTCCTTCTCGCCCTTGAGCGCCGTCCCGCACTCGCCGCACTTGAGCCTGCGTCCGCCCGCGACATCTAGAGTCAGTTCTCGGCGCTCTTCAGGCGAGAGGAACGACCCGAGGAGGAGGAACGAGCGCAAGGACGCACGTGAACGAGGCCGTGTCGGTGTAGGCGTGCTGGGCCCGGAGCTGGGCGACGAGCGCGAGGGCCGCGTCGAGGAGGTGCTCCCGGTACCGCGGGAACACGGTCGTGTCAAAGTCGAGGTTGGGCGGCGGGAACGACGTCGAGGGCTCGGGCGGCGCGAACGAGAACGTGAGGGCGTCGTAGTCTGCGGGGCGACAAGGTCAGGCAGGGTCCGACTCGACCTCCTGAGAGAGGAGAGGGAGACGCACGGATCCCGCTGTAGACGATGAGCGCAAACTGCTCGTACCCGTCGCCCTCGCCAAAGCGGTCGACGCGCCCGGTCTGGACGTCGACCGACCAGATCTCGGTCGCAAAGTGGCGCGCAAACACGGCGAGCTCGATCGCGCCGCCCCAGCTCGACGGCTCGAGGATCGTCTCGACGTACTCGGCGGGTGGGCGCCCGAGGACGGCCTCGCTGTACGACGACGACGACGACGCCTCGTCGGCCTGGATGGCGCGCGCGACGACTTGGCGCAGGGTCGAGGCGACGTCGCGCTCGCCAGGCGAGAGGACGAGGCCGACGGCGCGGAACAGGCACGAGTTGTCGTCGGGGACCTGGCGCAGGACGAGGAAGCCGCCGTCGGCCTCGACAAAGGCGGGCAGGTCGGACGCGGCGGCGGACGAGGTGGTGGGCCGAGGCGGTGCGGCGGGCGCTAGAGGGGCGGCGGTCTTGCGGGTTGCAGAGGACGGAGCTTGAGGGGAGGGAGGGCGCTTTTGCGGGATCGACGAGGGTGCAGGTGCGGCGCTGGTGGAGGGTGAGGCGGCGGAGGAAGAGGACGCCGGCAGGGGGTCGCGTTCTGCGACGACGATGGCCTCGCCGCTCTTGATGCCGAGTGACGCCAAGGTGGCGGTAGGAGACGCTGTCGGGTCGAGCGGTTTCGGCGGGAAGCCAGTTCGGACTGCGTGCGCGAGGTGGGGAGCCGTCAGGTTCAAAGTCGAGGAGGACGAGGAGGCGACGACGCACGCTCTTGTCGCGCGCGAGGGATGCCGAGGTGCTGCTGGACATGGTCGTGCAGGTCTGCGAGGGTGGCGTCGCTGGCGAGGTTGGCGTTCGAGGTGCCGGTGGGGGCTCTGGCAGCAGGACGAGTCTGTCAGCGAGGTGGGACGGCGGGGCTTGGCTGCTTCGGGGAGAGGGAGAGGACTGACCGCAGGCGGAGCAGGACCATGGCACAGCAAGGGCACAGCAGCAGGGTGAGGAAGCAGAGGAACGAGATCCAAGTCGCGTCGTCGTCGCTCCCTCTCTCTCTCTCTCGCTCTCACCTCGACCCTGCGCCGCGTGCAGCCAGCTCAGGCAAGGCGCACTATGCCGCCCAAGAAGAAGCCGCGCACGACCGAGTCCATCTCGTCCGACCTCGCGTCGGCCTTTGCCGCGCTGTCGACCAACAAGCTCCACCCGGACCACCTCCCGCCCGACACGCTCCTGCGCGCCTACGGCCTCGGTGGGACTCGCACCGCCACCGAGCCCTTCCACCGCACGTGCCCCAACCGCTGGACCGCCGACCCGACGCCGCCGCCGCCGCCGACTCGGGCCCACGACGCCCGCACCTCGTCTCGCTCGTCGCCCTCGACCTCTGCGTCCTCGTCGCGCCACAAGCCCGACACCTCGACCGACGTCATCGTCCTCGACTCGGCAGACGACGACGACGACGACGACGACGACATTGTCGAGTCGGACGACCTGTCGATCCAGGCCGGCCTCAAACGCAGCGCCGCCGCCGCCTCTACCTCGACCAAGAGCAAGGCCAAGGCCAAGGGCAAGGCCAAGCCGGTCCACAACGCCGACAAGCCCTGCTCGCCCGACGCGTGCAAGGACAACCCGCGGTGCCTCAACTGGCTCGGCCAGGACAAGTGGGAGAAGGACAGTGCGTCGCGACCTCGTCCCCTCGTCGGCCCCGACCCGGCTCACTCACTGACTCGCCCGCTCCCGCTCGCCCACAGGCAAGGCGCGCAAGGACTTTCGCAAGGCGGCCGGCCTGCCGGACGACCCGACCAACGACCGCGACCCGGACACGCCCGTCGGCCTCAGGGTGCGTTCTCGCCCGTCCTCCCTCCCTCTCTCTGTCTCGTCGGTTCCTAACTCACTCTGTCGCACCTCGACGCTCTGCAGAACCTCGGCGCGACGTGCTACGCCAACTCGTTCCTCCAGGTGTGGTACCGCGACGTCAAGTTCCGCGAGGGCGTCTACTCTTGCCTCCCTCCCGCGAACGGCAACGTCGAGGTGCGCCCCCTCTCCCTCTCTCTCCTTCCTCTCCCTGTCCACTCTGACGTCCCACCCTCGCGCCGCAGGCCTCGCCCCTGTTCCAGCTCCAGGTCCTGTTCGCGTTCCTCCAGTCGTCGCAGCAGGCCGTGTACGACCCGGACCCGCTCGTCGAGGCGCTCAAGATCAAGCGCACCGAGCAGCAGGACGCCCAAGAGTTTTCGAAACTGTTCCTCACCTTGCTCGACTGGGAGTTCAAGAAGCAGGGCAAGCGCGCAGAGGGCGAGGGCAGCGCGAGCGGCAACAAGGTGGCGAGGATCGTCGAGGAGCAGGTGCGTGCGCGGTTTCCGCTCCTCCTTCTTCTCGTCGTGGGACTCGCCTCGAGTCGTCGATCCTGATTGTCGCGCTTGTCGACGTACGCAGTTCGAGGGCAAGATGACCTACGGGACCGAGTGCCTGACGTGCGGCAACAAGTCGGAGCGCACCTCGACCTTCCTCGAGCTCGAGGTCAACCTCACTGTCCGTCCCTCGCTCTTCTCTCTCTCTCTCTCCATAACGAGCAACCCCTGACCGTCCACCCGCAGCGCGCGTGCAAGCTCGAGGACCGCATCGAGGCGTCGTTCGACAAGGAGCAGCTCTACGGCGACAACCAGTACCTGTGCGAGCGGTGCGACGCCAAGCGCGACGCGGTGCGGTACAGCTACCTGTCGGCGCTTCCTCCTGTACGTCGAACGCTCTCTCCCTCTCGTACGGCGCACGGTCCCTCCTCCTGCCGCTCGCCCTGCCTCCCTCGCCCTCCCTCGCCGCGCAACCCCCTTTCCTACTGAGGACGACGAGCCTGACCCTTTCCCCGTCATCCATCCCCTCGCAGGTCCTCCACTTTTCCCTCCTGCGCTTCGTCTTCTCGCCCAAGGACTTTTCGCGCTCAAAGTCGCAGCACGCGATCGCGTACCCGCTCTCGCTCGACATGGGCCCCCACCTGCCCGTCGACGCGCGCACGGGCAAGCGACCCTCGGACGTGTGGTACGACCTCAAGGGCGTCCTCATGCACAAGGGCCAGAGCGCGCACCATGGGCACTACGTCGCGCAGGTGTTTGACGAGACGCGCGCCAAGTGGTTCCTGTTTGACGACGAGAGCGTCGAGGCCATCGACGACTTGAACGCGCCGACCGTGCACGACGAGGACGACGAGCCCGTCGTCGCCAAGAAGAAGAAGCTCGCGGCGGGCTTTACGCGCAACAAGGACGGCTCGATGTGCGTCCCCTGTCCCCTTACTCTCTATCTCCCTCGTTTTGCTCGACTCGAGTGCGCCTCGGGTCAGGGACGCCGGCTCACCCGCCCTCTCTCGCGCAGCCTCCCCAAGTCCAAGGACGCCTGTGCGCCGCGCCCTGCTCCCCCTCTCCCTCCTCCTGTCTCGTCCCGCCCGTCCTGACCTCCCACACCGAAACAGACATGCTCATCTACACTCGCCGCGACTCGACCGCCTCGGGCCCTCCCTCGACCTCCTCGTCCGCCTCCTCTACCGGCGCCGCCCCCGCACCCGCACCCGCACCCGCGGCCGAGCCGACCCCGCCCGCTCTCGCGCAGAGGACGGTCGAGCGCCTCGACACGGCGTACCGCGCCGACGTCGAAGCGTACGAGCGCCAGGCGGCCGACGTCGAGCGCAGGTTTGACGAGGTGCGCGAGGGCAAGAGGAGGGTGTACCGCTCGTGGGCCGTCGAGGAGGACGATGTGCGTCTCCTTCTCTCCCTCCCTAGCTCCATCTCCCTCTCTCGTTCCCCCTCTTCGAGTCTCCCCGTTCCTTATTGACGCTGTCGCCCGTCCTGCAGGAGGAGGCGTTCCTCGTCGACAAGGTCGAGCTGCGCAGGTGGCTCGAGGACGGGCTCAAGGTGCGCAAGCCGGCGTCGGACGAGGGCAAGGGCAAGGGCAAGGAGGACGGCAAGGGCGAGGGCGAGGGCGAGGGCAAGGCGGGCGCAGTCGAGGGCGCGAGCGGCGACGTCGAGATGGTCGACGGCGGCGAGGGCGACAAGTCGGCGTCGACCGAGGGCGACGAGCACGGCGAGGACGTCAAGATGACCTCGGCCGACACGTCCACCGCGACGGCGAGCGACGACGGCCCGAGCACGCCCGCCGAGCCGCTCCAGTCGACCCTCGGCGCGCAGCTCGACAGCGCGTCGGCCGCCCCGAACGGCGACGCCCACGCCGCCGACTCGCCGCGCGAGGTCAACGGCAAGGACAAGGGCAAAGGCCGGGCGCTCGACCAGGACGACGAGCGAGACGAGCTGCCGCACCCGAGCAAGCTCGGCAACGGCTCGGCGGCGTCGGCAGCGTCGAGCGGCGACAAGGAGCAGGGCGTCGGCGCCGAGGACGTCAAGACGATCAGCAACGCCGACGTCGTGTGCGAGCATGGCAAGGCGGACCCGAGGAGGGCCGAGCAGATGAAGCGCGTGTCGCAGGTGCGCCCGGACCTCTCCTCTCTCGGCGGGCTCTCGGTCGTTCGACGAGAACCTCACTGATTCTGGTAGTCCTTTGTCGCACAGATGGGCATCATGGCACTGCGCGACCTCGGCGTGTCGATCGAGACCGAGCTCCTCATCCCTCGCGACCTGTGCCGCCACTGCGTCGGCGGGCTCGCAGCCGGTCCGTCCTCCCGCCTCTCTCTTCCTCCCCGTCCCGACATCTGACTCTTCTCGACGAGCCTGCAGACCACCTGTACGCGCTCGAGCACCCGAAGCGCGTCGCCGAGTACGACGCCGCCAACACCGACCGCAACCCGAACCTCAAGACCTTTACCATCTCCAAGACGTGGCTCACGGGTCCGTCGCCGCTTGCTCTGCCTGCCCATGGGCTCGCCGGGACTGACTCGGCCCTCGCCCGTCGCAGACTGGCGCCGCATCTCGCCCAAGATGCACGTCCGAGGCTCGTTCGCCGACCCGAGCCCGTCCGACGAGCCGTACCGCTCCGACGTCATCTGCCCGCACGGCGGCCTGCAGCCCGACATCAAGCGCCGCTCCATCGTCATGGCCGACGTGCGTCCCACGTCCTCTCTCTCGTCGTCGCGTCCTCCTCGACCTGACTCTCTCTCCTTTCCCCCTCGCGCCGCGACAACAGGCCGTCAAGGTCCTCAAGAAGGCCATCCCGGGCTGGATGCCCGTCGAGCTCGACCTGTGCGAGGTCTGTGAGGCCGAGCACATGGTCAACGTCGACGGCTTTGGCGAGCTCAAGAAGCAGCACGTGCTCGAGAAGGTGCGCCTCGCCCTCTCTCTCTTTCTCTCTCTCTGCGCCGCCCGACGAGGGAGGAACGCTACTGACAAAGTTCAACTCGAGCAGAAGAGCCTCAAGACGGTCCTCGCGGCGGCCGGCGGCCAGACCAAGCTCAACGGGGCGCGGTTGGCCATCAACGAGAACCCGGGCTTCGACCACGTCGTCAACAAGGGTCCGTCCTCCCCTCTCTCTCTCTCGCTTTGCGGGTCCTCGAGCATGCGGCCTAACTCTTGCTCGACCTGCCTCGCAGAGTGGTTCCGCAAGTGGGTCACGTGGATGCGCGGCGCGCCCGGGCAGAACCCTCGACCGGGCAAGCTCGACAACAGCCGCCTCCTCTGCAGGCACGGCCTCCTGTGCCTCGACGTCCCGCTCGAGGTCGAGACGTCGCGCAACGTCGAGATTGTGCCGCCCAAAGAATGGAGCGTGCTCGAGCAGTGGTGCATCCCTGACCCCCTCGACTCGTTCGGCGACCGTCTCGCCCTCGAGCTCACGTCTTCTCGCGCCCGCAGCTACGACGCCGGGCCCAAGATCCACATCTGGGCGACGGGACGCAACGGTGCTGCGCCCGCGTCGAACCCGGCCGTCTGCGACGAGTGCCTCGAGGAGAGGTGCGCCCGGACCTCTCCTCTCGTCCCGGTCCATCCCGAGCCCGTCCTGACCTTCTCCTCTTTCCTTTCCTTCCCCCTCACACAGCCGCAAGAACTTCTCGACGGCCGAGGTGCGCGTCGTCAGGCTCGGCGAGAGCGACTTTGACGAGGCCGGCCAGCGCAAGCCCGCAGGTGCGTCTTTCTCTCCCTGTTCGTCCCTCTCTCGCCCGATCTTGACCTTTGTCCTCTCCCTGCAGAAGCCGGCTCGCCCGAGGTCGACCGCAAGCCGTCGCCGCCGTCCCACCGCGGCCCCGTTGGAGGCCGCACGTCGAGCCGCATCGCCAACAAGACCAACCCGTTCTTCGCCAAGAGCGCCAAGTTCATCAACGTGGCCAAGGGCGACCTCGTCAGGCACCTCAAGCACAAGGTGCGCCCCCTCTCGCGCTCTCTCTCTCTCTCTCCTGTTCATCGCCTGGTCCTGACCGAGCCGACGGCACCTCGACCTGCAGATCGAGGAGGAGACGCAGATCCCGTTCGCCGCCCAGCGCCTCTTCTTCAAGCACGCCGAGCTCGACGAGGCGTCGGCGAGCGTCGACGACCTCGGCCTCGCCGCCGGCGACACGCTCGAGGTCTTTGCCGTCGACACCAACGTCGACCTCGACCAGCTCGACGACGACCCGGACTCGGGTGCCACCAACAAAAAGCGCCGCAAGCGCAAGCGCGAGGAGGGCTTTGGTGGAACGGGCCTGTTTGGGTTCGAGCTTGCGCTCGAGGGCGTCGATGAGGCGGACGCGGAGGCGATCCGGAGGGCCGTCGCTGAGGACGCGGCGGAACAGGGCGAGGGAGAGGGCGAGGGCGACGGGAACGACCTCGGCGCGGGCGCCGACGCCGAGTCGTCCATGTGCAACGGTCGAGCGCCGGGCGCCAACGGTCGAGCGAGCGTGAGCGGCCGCCGGTCGTCGTCCTCGTCGGCGGCGGTCAAGATGGACGACGAGCGCGCCGTCAAGTGTCCGAGGTGCACGTTCGACAATGCGGCGGGCCTCGCGGTGTGCGAGCTGTGCGACGCGCCGCTGGGAGGGTGAGTGAGCGGGTGCGGCAGCGTGTCGTCGGGGAGGAGCCGGTTGAGAAGGTCCGCTTTGAGTTTTCGTCGTCGCTTGTTGTGCAACCCTCGCAATGTTCGTGCCTCGTTGTCTGTGCGCTCTCGATGCAGAGAGAGCGGAGGAGGAGGGAGGAGCTGAGCTCGTCCGCTGTTTGCTCGCGAGCGACGCTCAGGCCGCGCTTGCCGTCCACGTTTGCGTCGACAAAGGACCTCTCTCTCCTCTCTCTCTTTTCGGCTCTCGACCAGTGAAGTGATTTTGTACGACACGTGCGAGCTGACAGAGAGACAAAGGAAAGCTACAACAAGCGAGCAGCAGAACCGCGGCCGACGACCTCAGAGCGGCTCGACCCTGACCTCGCCTCCGTCGACCGAGAAGCGGTGCACGCCGTCGCTCAGGTCGTCCCTCGCCTCGGGCAGCTTGAGGATGCCGAGCTCCTTGAGCGCCGTGAGGAGCGCGTCGGGTCCGCTCTGCAGGGAACGAGGGCGCAAGTCAGCGTCGCGGACTAGAAAGGTAGGGGAGGTCCGAGCGACGGACCGCGAGTTCGAGTGCGCCGAGGAGTGCGACGAGGGCCCTCGACACCATCTCGTCCGACACGTGGGACGTCTGCAGAGAGAGAGAGAGAGCCGAGCTGCTCAGAGTCACCCAGGCTCGACCGTCGCACGCGGCCAAAGCGCTCGACGAACGACCCAGAGGAGGAGGGAACGACGGCTCGACTCACGCCTCGCCCGACCCGCAGGACCTTGTCGAGCTCGATGTCGCGCGCGATGGGCGACAGGGCCTTGGTCGAGAAGGCGAGCGCGAGCGAGTTGTACTCGCTGCCCGTGTGCGGGCCGGGAGCGAGGTACAGCGCCTTGGTGGCGACGGCGCGAGAGACCTGCGAGTGGGTGTCGAAGTATGGGGAAGGGAGTGTCAGCTCGACGTCCTGTGCCACCTTCAGCGCACAGCCCGGGGCGGCAGCGCAAAAGGCCGCCGCCTCGAGCCGTGCAGAGGAGGGCGAGCGAGGACACACCGCTTCTCCAAGCCGCGCCAGCTCGGTGTTGTTGTGGGTCGCGCTCAAGCTCGAGTGCGTGAGTGCCGTCGTCGCGAGGCCCTTGGCGAGGTGCGAGTAGAAGTGGAGCGAGGGTGCCTGTGGGCGCGACGGCGTGAGCTGGCGCGAGGAGAAGAGAAGGGGGAGCGGTGGAGCGCACCTTGTTGCGCAGAGCTTTGAGCCTCTCCTCGATATCCATTGCGTGTCGAGGGCGAGCTCTGACAGCGACTAGAGCGAGCGAGAGAGAGAGAGAAGGGAGGAGGAGGAGGAGAGCCGAGCGGGGCGAGCCAACCTTGAGTTCGTCGTACCGGCAAGTCCGCCCCGACGAACGACGGACAGGGGCTCGAGTGAGCGCGCAGATCCTCGCAGTCGATCGAGCGTGGTCACCGACGCCCGATCAAGGCGCAAACAAGCCAACAAGCCAAGTCGACCTTCTCAAACTCGCACTCGCGCTCCGACATTGCAGCTCCCTCCTCGCTCGCTCGCTCGCTCGCTCGTTCGATAACTCTACTCTAGAACCCGTTCGGCACCTCGTCCGGCAGCGCGTACGTGACGTGCCGCTCCTTGCCCTGGTCCGTTCCGCCGCCGCTCGCAGCATGGTCCTGCCTCCCGACCTCGGTCCTCGAGCCGGACGACACGCTGACGGGCGCCGTCCCGGGCACGACCGCCATCTTGGGCGCCGCCGCCGCCGAGCCCTTGGCAGAGCCGCCCTCGCGCGACCCGTCGTCGAGCTCGCCCTCGTCGACCGAGCAGCCATCATCGGCCGACGCCGCCGACCCGTCAAAGCTCGGGCGGCGACTGTGCGCGCGACTCGGCGGACCGGGCGTGCCCACGGCGCTCGGGGTCGCCGTGCCGCCGGCGGCGTCGGCCTCGTTGATGGCGCGCCGGCGCCACCACGAGGGCGCATTGTTGTCGTCGTTCTTGGCCGAGAAGGACGACTTTGTGCGCGCGATGGCGAGCGGGGCTTTGGCGAGCGGGATCGTGATGCCCTGTGCGAGTGGCCCAAGTCAGGCAACGGGAAAGAGGAGGGCGCGAAAAGGAGGGAGAGACGCACGTGGACGATGGTCGACGACATGGCCATGAAGATGACGACGGGGAAGATGACCTCGCGCAGGACGACGCGCTCCTCGGGAAGCGTCTCGAGCGCGAGGATGGCGTAGTCTGCAGAGGCGAGCGCAAGTCAGAACCCGAGGCGACGACGGCGTGACCGAGAGAGAGAAAGAGAGACGCACAGAGCGCAGAGACGCCGATCGGGCCGAACCTGCGGGCGCTCAAGCCAAGCGGGTCAGCAACGGTTCCGGGCGACGCCGAAAAAAGGGAGAGAGAGAGAGAAGGAGACGCACCAGCCGGCAAAGAGACCCTCCTTGAGGCCGTCGAGGGCCGGGATGTACCGGTACAAGAGCAACATGGCCGGCAGGCGACGGAAGAGGAGGATGCAGATGGCGAACAGGACGAGGCGCCACGGGACGAGGTGCTCGCTCGAGAACTCGGACCCTGCAGTTCGAGGCGACCGAGTCAGGTCGGCGCGTCGAGATGAGCGAGAGGGGGGGCGGGAGGGACGCACAAGGGATGAGCGCGCCGATGTAGATGAAGGTCGCCGTGTCGAGCAGGCCGTCGATGACTGTCGGCGAGGCAGAGCGTCAGTCTCGCTGTGACGCACAGAGAAAGAGAGAGAGAGAGAGGGAGAGCCGGGACGCACCGTCCTGGAACGTGTCCTCGTGCTCGTGCTTCTCGATGCGGTAAAAGTCGTGCCACGTCAGGCTGTTGCCGGCGACGAAGCAGGCGAGGATGTCGTCGCTGCCGAGGATGCCGACGACGCCGAGCGTAAACAGGGCGAGGCCGACGCCGTACGCGAGGAACGACTCGTGGTCGACCAGCTGGCGCGCGTGGCAGAACTTGAGCGTCTTGGCCGCGAGGAAGCCAATGACGGCGCCGATCGCGCACGACAGGAAGATCTGGTACAGCCACGTCGTGACGACCCAGTGGGCGATCGACTGGCCAATGTCGCGCCCGTGGTTCGAGCGCTGCATGAGGTTGAGCGCGATGAAGAGGAACGGGAACCCGAGGCCGTCGTTGGCGCCCGACTCGGCAGAGATGATGTCGCGCACGGCCTTGGGCACGTGCTTCTCGGCGTACCGGCCCTTGACGATGGCGTTGGCGAGGATCGGGTCGGTCGGGGTGATGCACGCCGAGATGGCGAGCGCCTCGAGGAACGTGAGGTCCTTGATGAACAGGAGGATGAAGCCCGCCGAGATGAACCAGCCCGCCGTCATGATGGGCCCGAGGAGCATGAAGAGGGACCTCGCCTCGCGGCGCAGGTACGCGGCGGGCAGGTCGATGCCGGCGAACATGACCTGGATCCCGATGACGACGCGCATGATCTGGAACGTGAGGTTGCGCCGCGACTCCTCGTCGAACGACGTCCATTGCCACGGCGATATCCAGTCGAGGCCGATTGGTCCGACGGCTGCAGTACGAGGTGGGGGTCAGTTCGTCGACCTTGAACTGGTCCGGGCAAAGAGGACGAAGCGGGACGCACCGATACCGACGCAGAGGGCGATGAGGGCCGACGACATGAGGAGGCGGGCCTTGAGGAGGTACGACAACTGGCCAATCGTGACCAAGTAAAATCCTAGCACACCGAGCGCAACTGAGAACTTGGTGAGATCGAGCGAGGCCCAGGGCTGCAGGACGTTGTGGTCCTCGTGCGTGGCCATGATGGGCGGCGGTGTGGTGAGGCTAGAGTGGCGCTAGCGGGGTGCGGCGTGCGGCGGGGGCCGTGGTGGACGGTGTGGTGAGGCTAGAGTGGTGCTATGTAGCGCAGTGCGACGGTGGGGGCCGTGGGAGGCTGTCGTTATTCGCGCGAGATGAGCGAGTGGAGGAGGAGGGTGCAGGCGGGCATGCGGTACGGGCGAGGGCGAGGGCGGGCTCGATAGGGAGCTGTGCAGGTGCTGTGACTGTCGGCACTGGTGCGCGCGTCGCTCGAGCGGTGTGGCGGAGCTGGCGAGGTCGGCAAGGGGAGGAAGAGACGGGAGATTCGAGGCGGCGCCAAGCGACTCGCCGTCTCACCTTTTCCCGTGCAGAACGTGGGCGACGAGCGCCGTCTTGCCCTGTCGTCCCTGGTAGCTGCAGGCATGAGTAGGGCATCCCGCGAGAACGACGACTTGGGCTCGGGCTCGAGTGCGCGCCGAGGGAGCTGCACGGACCTCATCGACAGCGCGTCCACCGGCCCTTCCTCCTCGGAGCTGCGCTAGACTGCTTCTGAGCACAGCCTGAGCACCTGCGCACGCAAGCTCCACGGCGACTGCGAGGTTCGGCCAGTTGCACCGCCTCCTCGGCTGTCATCGGTCTGCCTCCTCCTCCCCTCAGCTCCTCCTCTCCCTCCTCGCACTTGACCAGCTGCACATCCACCACACCCGCCACACTTGTACCATGCGCACCTCTCTCTTCACCACCGCCCTCGTCGTCGCCGCCGCCTCGAGCGCCATCGCCGCCCCGGCCGACGTTTACGACAAGCGCCAGTTCGGGTGAGTCGTCCTCCCGCCTTGTCGCTGCGCAGCTCGAGCGCTCGAGCGACTCGCGCTAGCTCCCGGCGACCCAGCCGAGCGAGCGGGTCCCTCGACGATCCTCCCGCAGTCGCTGACTCGTCCTCCCTCCCTCCCGTCGTCCCGCAGCGGCCTCACCTCGGTCCTCGGCGATGTCACGAGCGTCGCGGGCGACATCACGAGCGGCGCCGCCGGTGCTTTCTCGACCCTGACGAGCGGCGCCGTCGGAGCCTTCTCGACCCTGACGAGCGCGGGCGCGACTGGCTTCGAGTGCGTCCCTCTCGCCTCTCCTCCAGCACCGAGGTCCCGACTGACCTGGCGCTCTCTCCGCAGGTACGTCACCTCGGGCGCCGACGGCGTCCTGTCGACCGTGACCTCGTTCGGCGAGGGCGCCTTTTCGTCGGCGACGAGCGGCGCCGCCGGCGCGTTCAGCACGGCGACGAGCGGTGCGGCGGGCGCGTTCAGCACCGCGACCGACGGTGCTGGCAGCGTCATCTCGCAGGGCACGAGCGGCGCCGCGGGCGCCTTCAGCTCGGCGACCGACGGCGCCGGCAGCGTCGTTTCGCAGGGCACGAGCGGCGTGCAGCAGGCAACGTCGGCTGTTGCGTGAGCTCTCTCTCTCGCCCTCCCTTCGTCTCTCTCGTCAACGACGCACTGACCCTCTCGTCGATGTGCACCCTCGTAGCGGCGGCTCGAACCCGGCGGCCAAGCTCTCGTTCTCGCCCGTCGCCTTCCTGTCGGCCGTCCTCGTGAGCGGCGCGGCCCTCGCCGGCGGCGCTTTCGTCCTCGCCTAAGCCGAGCCCGGCGCATGGGTCGAAGCGTCCGTCGACGGGAGGCTCCGGCCCTCTCGCCCGAACCGGACCCACCGCCAATCTCGCGCTTCTCCGGCCCCTTCCTCGACCTTGTCGCGCGAGCTCTGGCTCCCCCTTCCTCCAGCCTTTCAACTATCCCCCCTTCTCTCACCTCGCTAGTACATACACCCTCTCTCTGCCTCTCGACCTGAGCCTGCAATGCCCGTCGTCCTGCGTCCGTCGCGAGCGAGTGAGAGAAAGGTCCGAGCGATCGTCCGCGCTGCAGACGACTCGTGGTCGAGCCCACCTGCAGCGTACGCCGGCCAGATGGCATTACAGTCGCCCACCTGCCGTTCGAGGCAGCGCCCGCATGCACGGGCGAGAGCGAAGTGTCGTTCAACCCGGGGGAGGACGAGCAGTTTGCGATCGACTCGCGACGACGGCCGACGAGAGGGCGATGGCGAGCGCGTCTCTCGGCCTCGTTTGCGAGTGACGACCCTGCTGCTGCAGGGCGCCCTGCATCTCTCGCCCGTCGACGCCTCGCGTTTGAGAAGGTCGCGCTCCTGCTCCTCCTCGACGACTGAGGCGAGAGAGGGTCCAAGTGACGGACAGAGTTCGTTCCCGCGCGCGCGCGCGCTTCCGCGACATAGCAATCGAGGCCCCTCTCGAGATGCGGAGAGCTCCCATCACGCTCGCATACGAGGGAGGTCCGAGCGAGTTGCACGGGCACGGGGGGAGCGACACAGTTGGTGCTCAAGGCGACTCGGAGGTTGCGGGCCCAAATGGCGGTTGACGCGGGTGTGGAATGCTCGCGGCGGTTCGGCCGGGTCACTCAGAGAGCTCTTTCAAGGCCGCCGAGCCTGGCGTCAGAGCTGCGGGCGTGCGCGCGCGCCCGCCGCGTCGTCGTCGCTCAACTTGAGAGCGAGTGCCAGCACCTCGTCCTCACCCAGCTCACGGCGAGCCTGTCCAGCCAGAGCAGAGCCGACGACGACCCGCCCGACTGGCCGTCCCTGAGGTTCCTTTGTCGAGAACAAGCTCCCGCGGACGCTGCCCTCCCCCGACCGACCGGCCGACCTCACTATTTGTTTTAGGCGGTTT